AAGGAGGGAGAGGGGAGGAGGTCGGCCTAGGCGTGCCCACCTCCCACTTGGGCTCCTAGTCAAATTCGCCCCCCTTTCCTTTTACCGGAAGGGGAAAGGGGGAAGGAGAGAGAGGAGAAGGAAAGGAGGGCGCCGTCCCCTCCCCTTGTCCAATTCGGACTCCTCCCTAGGTGGGACGGGGAGGGCGCACCACCCCTTGTGGGCTGGCTCGCCTCCCTCCTATGGCCCATATCTTCCCCCGGGGGATTCCGGTAAACCCCCACCCCACCCCGCGGTACTTCGATATGTACCCGATACATTCTGAAACACTTCCGGTGTCCGAATACTATCGTCCAATATATCAATCTTTACCTCTTGACCATTTCGAGACTCCTCGTCGTGTCCGTAATCTAATCTGGGACTCCGAACAATCTTCGGTCACCAAATCACATAACTCATAATACAAATCGTCATCGAACGTTAAGCATGCGGACCCTACGGGTTCGAGAATTATGTAGACATGACCGAGACACCTCTCCGGTCAATAACCAATAGCGGAACACGGATGCTCATATTGGCTCCTACATATTCTAAGAAGATCTTTATCGGTTGAACCGTTATGACAACATATGTTATTCCCTTTGTCATCGGTATGTTACTTGCCCGAGATTCGATCGTCGGTATCTTCATACCTAGTTCAATCTCGTTATCGGCAAGTCTCTTTACTCGTTCCGTAATACATCATCCCGCAACCAACTCATTAGTCACATTGCTTGCAAGGCTTATTATGATGTGCATTACGAGAGGGCCCAGAGATACCTCTCCGATACTCGGAGTGACAAATCCTAATCTCGATCTATGCCAACCCAACGAACACCTTTGGAGATACCTGTAGAGCATTTTTATAATCACCCAGTTATGTTGTGACGTTTGATAGCACACAAGGTATTCCTCCAGTATCCGGGAGTTGCATAATCTCATAGTCAAAGGAATATGTATATGACATGAAGAAAGCAATAGCAATAAAACTTAACGATCATTACGCTAAGCATACGGATGGGTCTTGTCCATCACATTGATCATGTTCATGAAATGACAACACATGTCTATGGTTAGGAAACTTAACCATCTTTGATTAACGAGCTAGTCTAGTAGAGGCTTACTAGGGACACTGTGTTTTGTTTATGTATCCACACATGTATCAAATTTCCGGTTAATATAATTCGAACATGAATAATAAACATTTATCATGATATAAGGAAATATAAAATAACAACTTTATTATTGACTCTAGGGCATATTTCCTTTAGTTACTGGCAGGGTCGCGGCACCACTGGAGCACGGACACCCCACGCCAAACGACATGGTCAAGATCAACACGAATGGAGCGATCCCACATACTAGGGCAAAAGGTGGCAGTGACGTGTGCTTATTCTTAACCACGATAACAACTTTGTTGTACGAGCTTGTCATTTTCCCAGTGGCCTCAAATACAGAAGGTGTTGAAGTCCTAATAAACAATAGTGAAACACCTGACGGTTTTGCTACTTGATCTAGCAATGTTGATGATTGGGGAGAGAGCGGGCTAAGGAGATGGAATGTGAGATGCTTATTTCAGAGATGAATATCAATATTGTTGTGTGAAAGTCGAATAAGTGCTCAAGGACCTCTTGTGGAGCACTTGAAGGTTTTGCTGCACCAACTACAACATTTGCTTTGCGAAGTCAATTCTCCGAATAATGACCACTGAAGTAACTCTAATTCAGCTACGGGAGTTGTGTCTTCTTTCAAGAAAATGCAAAGCATTGTGTTTCGATTCATTGATACAGTTTGCACAAGCATGTGGAAGGACACACCCGATGTTACAACAAACAACACTAAAAGCTAGATGGACCGGTGACCAGGAGCAACACAACAAGACCTCTTGCTGTCGTTGTCGTCCAACTCGTAGCTTCTGCACTAGTTGTGGCAAGGGGGCGAGATAGGCCGAGTTGAGCGGCATCGAAGATGAGCGTGTTGCAGTGCTTTCAGATTTAGCAGGGCACCAACCTGATGGCAAAGTACATGCCCTTTCGAGATCCGGACTGAAGAGGGTTGCGTTAACAAATTGTGTAAAAACATGGCTGGGTCAAGTGACGAATTATGTAATTCGGCCATGGCAAGAGAGATGCCTGTGATTTGGGTAATACAAGCGGCCTTTCCACTAAAATAACCGAGTGAAGACTTTGCTTGTGTATTATGGCATGTGTTTGTTTCATGGGCTATTTATAATTATTGATTTTTGTTGCTTGAGCTTGAGAAGCAAAATAAAAAACAAAAAACTCAAAAAAAAGCTTTTACCTTTTAGAAAATCAATAAACCTTTCACCTAAAAAAAGAATCAATAAAGCTCCCAATTTTTTTAAAAATATTTCTTGCTTTTCTTAAGGGGTTTTGGTTTTTGTTCTTCGGGGTCAAGAGTTTTTTTTTAGATATATCTTCGGGGTCAAGAGTGACTCCACGGATTGTGCCAGCCTAACTTCGCTTTCCGGCCCACTAGTTCCTGCTCGGCTCAGGCCAGCCGCTCCTCTCCTCCTCACCTCTCCAGCGCGTGCTGCCCTAACTGACGCCGTGGAAGTGCGCGCCGCCGCCCGCTCTCTCCCCGGTCGCGCCGCCGCCGCCTCTCCGCAGCCCGAGCGTAAGATCTCAATCAACCTCTCTTCCTAGGTCATCCTACTCCACCTCTTGCAGCGTCCGTTGCTTGCGGCATCGCTGCATCTGACGGGGGCTCTCATCTGTGTGTTCGATCCATGTATAAATTGGTCAGGCGAGCTGCAAAATTCTGTAATCATAGACTGCGGCATATGTTTTTTTGTGTGTGTTTGGTTCTGTATGCAAGCATTTTTTAGCTCTGTAGAAAGGATTTGGTCACTCTGTGTTCTGTAAGGGGTAGCTGTGTTGGTACAAATGTGCAAGTGCAATATCAACAGCTAGCCAGATTCTGATCCCCATCAGTACTTCTTTCACTCCAGTATTTGTTTCATCCTCAATTCTCCCTAGATTGCGTCTCTGGAAGGCAGCGGAACAATCTTCCGCTGCAGAGTTCATTATTAGTTTCAGGACTCCACAAAAAAAAAGCTTCAGAACTGCCTCTAATTGCCATGCTAGGATGATAACCAGCAGCATTTTGCTTTGCACCGGTGAACAGTTTACAGACCATTCCCTGAATGAATGCTCCATCCTAATGAAATTGTGGAATCGGCATTTTCTGAATACGCCGTACAACTGAAACTGTGGAACCGGTGTCAACCTTTCCTTACCTCTGCTACCATGTTTATTCTCAGGTTAATAATCCCTGGACGATGGAGATGAATGCTGCAACAAGTCTAGAACCTAGAGCAAAGGCTACCCTGGTTCTCGGAGGGGAATCGTTCGCAGTCAGCTCCGAGTCCGGCACCCTGTCGGAGCAGCTGGCGGCGATGAGGGAGAAGAGCATGGTGATCCTCAAGGAGTACATCACCAAGCACAACGTCCCGAACGATGTCCCTGATGAATCCATTGAGGGCCCATCGGATGAGGAGGGCGAGGCACTTGCTAAAAACCCGCCCAAGAAATCAAAGAAGCAGAAGTGATTGTCCTGAATCTCATCTGATTTATCGTGCCCTTTCTTAGTCCTCTCTTGCAAAGATCTGAGAACATGCTGTTACCCCTTGCTAGCTGTTCCTTTGACACTGAACGACCAACAATTTATTCTTAGGCACACTAGCTGCTTGTGTATCAAATCGATGTGTGCAAGCGACGCTCAATGTTGTTATCTGATAATATGTGTGTGCAAGGAAAGTTTGCATCTTTCTTTCTGTACAACTCGTTGTTAGAAGATGTTCTGCTTTTCGCTGGTAATATATGAGCTTCAGCACTAAAGTCCATTGCAGTTAAATCATTTGTCAGATGTTTTGCTTTTGAGGATAATGAATGAGCTTCAGCACAAGTGAAATGATCATCCTAATCTGGTTTGACTTGGCACACACTTTCTTGGTACCCCAGCAAAGGTCAGAGAACATGTTGATGCCCCTTGCTAGCTGCTGTTCCTTTGACACGAAAAGGTCAGAACTATTGTTAGCAGCAAATCTGCTTGTGTAGGAAATTGCTGCTGGTGCTTGTGCAAACGGTGCTCAATGTTGTTGTCTAATATGATGGTAGGTGCAGGGGAATTCGCTCCTTTCTGTACGACTCTTTGGGTATGTGATGATTTGCTTTGAGGAGAATATATGACTGGGCTTCAGCACATGAGTTCTTAATTTTCTGTTGCTTGTCCATGTTATGTGCAGTAAGGCGTCAACAACCTGAAATCCAACAAGCAACAGCTCCTGATAGCAGTCAAAATTCCCATAAAAGATATTGTGTGTACACTACATGCGTCAGTTAGTCTTCCTCGGTGTACTACTGATGATCTCTCAGTTCAAAATGTTGAAAAGCTTCGCGGGCTCTGTCAGTTTTGTTCCTCACTCACTTGGAGATGGCACAAGTCCAAAGATCAAATTATTGTTACGAGCTAAGTTGCAGTTGCGAGAAATCGCTTCTGGTGCATGTGCAAGTGATGCTCAATGTTATCCCTTGATATATGCAGGGTAAGTTTGGCCCTTTCTATGACTCAATTCGACAAATTTAGTGCAAGCCACTCTTCAGTTAGGTGTTTTTCTTTGTGCTTATGAAGGCATCATATTGACAAGTTTGTAATGATATTCAGGTTGCAGAGATCCGGCGGGGTCAGGCCCCGAGGATGAGCAACATCGGGCTCAAACAGCACAAGAAGCAGAGGAGAAAAATCCACCGGTATTCAACATTTCAAGGTGTCAACACACGATCTGTAAAATCTCTTTGATTGTAACATAGTGGGATGGAATTTAATGAAGTATGCTTCTGATCTCATTGATCTTTTTGGCCAGCAGGTCTCTCTCTGCTCGGATCTTTCCAAGCTTTTGCCTTAGCTCAAGTTTCTCGGCCCTTTCGTCTGACAACTGCTCTTCAAGTCGGGCCACCTTAGCAAGGGTGGTTTCGCCATTCCTCGCCTTCTCCTGCTCGGTGTTCACCCAGTGTGATGCATCTTCACTAAGATTGCTATCATCTTGCAACCGCACAAAAAAGGGATGGTGTTAGCTTCCTGCTTTCCTTTGTAAAAGGAAGATGCATTTAAGACTTGAATCTGACTTGAATGTTTGTAATAGAATCAATCAGCCTATCAGGTAAACTAGCAAGAAGCATGCATATAGGAAATGTCGGGTCACCGACAGAGCACGGATGCCCTCATAGGCTCATAGTACTAACTGTACAACTGACTAGTTGGTTGACATGAGGAAAGAAAAGTGTTTGAGGGCTATCATAGGCTCATTGCTAATTATTACTAGCATCTGTTTGTTACATAGATCAACACAATGTAATAAATAATTCTCAAACAATCAGATGAAAGTGTAAGATAATACTTACTTCTAATTCCTATGCTGAGAACAAAAGTTAATGTTTCAGATACTGACATGGTCTACACTAAAACGTGTTTAACTTCACCATTATTTTTTACATCTATGTTGATACAAAAAAAAAATCTAACGACAGGATTGGGCATATGATCATCATGGCTATAACATAATTACCTGGCGTAGTCGCATTCATATATCTGGAGATGGTAGTGGCACAATATGCAAGCGACACGTCGTTGCTTCTTCTAGCTGGGATCCTGTACATTGCCTGGAATCTGTTGTTCCTCATGTCAACAGCAAGGAGCCATGCCTTGGGGTGCATGAACTTCAGCCTGGTGATCAGGTAAACAACGCCATTATCATCCATGCTGGGAACGGGCTGACATGTGTAGGTATTCTCCAGCCATGGGATTCCGCAGCGCCGCAATCCGGACCGCGCGGTTTCGCATATCTCAATGTCAAAAGCCTTGACGGCGCAGTCTGTGACCCAATCGCACCGGACCATGAGATTCAGGACCATGGTCTAGTCGAACCCAAGCTCGGTGCCATACGATGTAGCATTGCTTCCTTGGGATATGTGCCATGTTAGCATTCAAAATTCAGAGATTATGTTAATTACTTGTCATTAGCGGCTTGGGTTGGCACAAGGTCCTAAGCTACTGTAGCATGGGCCCAAGCCCCAGAATTCAAGAAATTATTATTCTGTTCGACCTTGTCGCTACTGCTCATCTTGCATGTTTTTTTATAATATTTCCTTTATATCAAATTGCACAATTTATCTACTACCTCCATTTCAGTTTACAAGTCCTGCGCGTATACCTAGGTTGCCAATTTTATCACCCTAATATAAACTATATAACACAAAAATTATACCTTTTGAAAGTAGAAACTCCGTAGTTTATGTTGGTATTTTTTTTAATATATGACTTATATTAGGTTGGTCAAATTGACGACCTAGGGATACACACACGCCCTGTAAACTGAGAGAGAGGTAGTACCTTGATATTTAACCTGCTGGCTATCTTTTAATGCTCAAATGGTTGATGATTTCCCTTTTTTTATGTATGCTAGGGATATTCATGCAGTCAGCACATTAAAAAACTTTTTCCTATAAGCATATCCAACATAAAGAAAAAAAGATAAAAATATATTTTCTTTAAGATTGGTGAAGATTTGAATAAAAAAAATATGTCACTGCATAAAAAAGATTCTTGGTACAGAAGATCCATCTTGGGAAAGAGCTTCCCTAGTTAGAAAAAATACAGTGATCAGCTCAAAGATATTCATCAAATTTTCTTGTCTAAATCGGCAAGCAAGACATGTGAATTTATAAGAGCATCTCCAACTGCCGCACAAAAATTTCGCGCCCAATAAAAGTTTTAGCACGCCACTGTAGCACTTTTAATGCGCAGGGACCAATATTGCTTTAGTAGATGCCAAAAAACGCGCGCCCAAAAAGCAGACAGTGCAAATTATGAAGCGCACGTAATCCGGAGCCCAAAATATGCTGCGCGCGATAGTGTTTTTCAGGGCGCGCCCTAAATCTTTTAGCGCTACAGCATCTGCTGGAGCTATTCGGCGCCCAAAAAAACAAATTTTTAGTGCGCGGAGCTCTTTTTGGACGCCTGTTGGAGATGCTCTAAGGGTGTGTGTTTTCTGTACATATTTTTTGTTATATTTGTTTCCAAACAATCCAAGTGTGGGGCCACTCTAGGGGTGCATAACGAGGCACATTAAAAAAAATTGCCATGGTATCGATGGACTGGTAGTATTTTATTCCCTAATGAGTCTTCGCATGCAGTAGATTTTGTAGAGCGGGGCATGTTTAGCTAGTGTTGATGATTCCCGCCGTACTTTGTGAAGGGTAAGTGGCACATATCCCAAGAAATATTGTCTGAGATGGACGGTACTGAGTGTAGGTGCGATCGAACCATGGTGCTGAGCAACATTTTCGTAGGTAACAGAGTTCATGCTAGAGTTTCCATCATACTATAGAACAACACAGAGAAGCTAAAGTAGGCACTTACCAACTACCTCAACAGTGCACCGATCCCACTGGCACATTGATAATTAGAACAGATTTTGTTGATGGACAACACGATGAAAGCAAAGGCAGTGCACAACCAATACATATATAGGTCTTTCCAACAGTAATAGGAACGCCTGATCCAGTTCCATCCAACATCCTAATCCAGCACCAAGTTAATTCGTGACTAAGGGCCCGTTCGGTGTCCCTCTGCTCCGCACCTCCACTCCCGGAGCAGACGGAGCTGCAGTTAGAAATCTCAAAGCGGGCAAAAAGGTGCTCCCCAGATCCGCGGATTTTAAGGAGCCGGTGGATTGCCAAGCGGGCCTTAAGTCAAAAATAGCAAACAGATCGATATTGCACTTCTGCTTCTGTAATTATTATTATTTTGCTAGCAGCAAAGAAATGCAGCTTCACTCAATTTTCTTTGATCCAAGACCCTTCACATGCCATCACTGTTCCAAGCAAAACACAACATAAATTAGGACGGAGATAATTACGCATCAAAAGATCTAGACAAGCAAAAAGGCAAGTAGCTGTACAACAAAAAATTAAATGTTACATGGCACTGAAATGCCAAAATGATGCAACTGTTCCAGCAAAAAAAATGCATGAATGTCCCAAACAAACAGTTGGCCCACTAAAATACAAGCTGGTCCCACAAGATTGGATTATACACTTCTCGTGTATAAGAGATACATCTTCAATTTGATATATCTAAACGAGAAAACAAGCATAAACATAAGCTTGCCACTGTAGGATGTAGGATCTATAGTTGAAAATTGTGTGAGCAACAACTCACTCAAGCAAGTATCCTCTAACAAAAATACCAAGTATTAAAGATAAGAGACATATATAATAGTTTGAGGATCACATTTCACATGCCTACCCATATCCCTCTAATTTCTCTCCACTATCCCCAATCCCCATTGTCCTTCTCACCTCGCCAATCATGCACCTATGCATAGAGGACACCTGATCCTCCCGTGCAACACCCATATTATTCTCAATGCTTCTCCTCTACGGTAAAATGAACAAACAACTTCTTTTACGACTAGGCAAAAGCAATTTTAGTAGCATCACCCAAGAGTCAACAGGCAAACCTTGCGGAACCATCCTCAATCGCAGGGCATGTGGGAGGCCATATCATCATAAAAGGATGGATAGAATGCAGTATATCATATCTTCCAAGCTCATACACTTTACGCAACTTCCTGCACTTAATATCCAAGTAGAGTATAGATTGACCCGCCTGCAAAAGCACAAACTCGGCATTGTTACCCACTTGGTTTAGATGGACATTCTCATTATGAGATATCCTCAAATTATCAAGCATCTTACGCAAACAAATGGTATCCACTGGCAACCATTTGTCCTTCTTGTGGAACCATATGCCAAGTTGAAGCTCCTTAGCATGGATAAGATATACACCGGAATCATCATTAGCCCGTGACATCACAGCGTTTCTCATGCCATACTTCGCCACCATGTGTGGGAGCTTAACTATGGAGAAACTTGAGGCTGACAAATCCAAGGCATGGATGTTGTTCATGGAGGCCATATATATTTTATTGTCGACGACCACAGGTCTTGGTACCCATAGCAAAAAAGGGTGGTGTGTACTTGTGATCGAGGTATGCATGCACCAGACATTGTCTTGTAACACAGATACGTGCATTGTAGATTTTGTGGAATCCCTGGTAGACTCAATCCACACATACAAGTAGGACAAGTTGTCACCTTCTCCTTTGGAAATGAGGTCACTCCAAGTGCAGGTATTGCCATCCTGCAGTTGGTGAGGTGGGAATCGTGGGAAGCTAGGTATTTCTCTATTAGAGGAGAGTGGTTTATGCACTACTTTTGTGTATGTGGATGTCCAGCCGTCATACAAGTGGATGAAAACGTTTCCGTGCCGGCAGTCTGTGATGTAGATATTCTTGCCCTTGTAGGCGTCAAAGCTGAAGTTTGCACGGTGGATGACTGTGCTAAGCTCTGGGGGCAGCAGCAGATTTGGCATGAAGACTGGGGGGTTCGGATCTGATTTATTCGACATGGTGTGGACGTAAAAGCCAAGGAGGCCGGGCGGGTGAAGATTGCGGAACCTGAGGAGGAAGGAGGGGTCGGAGGCGCGGCGAAGCCAGCGCCTGCAGACAAGAGCGGCGCGGACGAGAGTGGTGGGAAAGCCGACCCGGAGTATGATCTCCATGAGGAGATCGTCGTTGCCGAGCACCTTGGATACGGGGTCGGTCTGCGGCCTCTTGCAATTGGTCCTGAAACAGCAGCAGCCACAAAACAAGTGCAATCAATCCATTGGTTTCTTCAACCAGTGCATTCAGTCGCAAGCTCCAACACGCATATGCACTAATGCACATCCATCCAGCTTAACATGCACAAACTACTACACGTTGCAGCCACCAAAAAAGATGACGAGAGAAACCGGATAGTCTTACTGTTGGGGAATCTCATTAGGATCCATCTGCCGCAGCACCCTCTCCTGGCTCTCCGCTGTTGTAGCGAAGGGAATGTTAGGGTTCTATTGGGAGGGGGAAATACGGGCTAGGGTTTTCTGCAAGGAAGAAAAAAAATTGAATAGAAAAGAAGTAGAGGAAGGAGAAGGGGTCACCCGAATGTGTATAGTCGGTAAACGCCAGGGAGAGGGACGGGGCCGATTGCCCCAGTCTGGCCACTGAAAAGCCTATCAAGTAAAAAAAAACTATTGCAATGAAGAAACAAAATTGTAGTACGACGCTGGCCACTTCAAGAAACAAAAGCCCATCAAGTAGAAAAAAAGCCCAATGCAATCCCGTAAAAAAATTATACCCATTGGTGCGTCTGCAGTCATGGCATGATGGCAATGCGAGTAACCTTTTCTCGGGGGCCATTTCTTGGGCGTGTCGGCAATTGTCTTTTTTTTTTACGCGAGTCGGCAATTGTCTTTGATGGAGTAACAGACCCTGTTAGATTTTGTGTCGTAGTCTTACTGTGTAATCTATACCGTATTGATATATAACTTGTATGACATTATTATATATATGTGATAGGCCATCCCATAGAGGATTGAACCAGTTCCTTCAAAACCTTTGTGTTACATGGTATCGAGTCTAACCTAGGTCCTACACCCCACCACACCGCCGCCGCCGCCGAAACCCTAAACCCTAAGGCCGTGCCGCCGGTGCCATGACTGCTTCCGCCTCGGGCGTCACCAGCTCTGGGTCGATCCCCGCGTTGCTTGCCGCCCTCCTCAACCTACCACCCCATCCCCTGGCTCCGTCGGTGCCCCAGTTCTTCGGCAACACTGCTGTTGGCTCCATGTTTTCGGTGCCGATCCTGTCGCCGTCGCCCGCAACCTCCGGTGTCGCGACGACGGTTCTTTCCGCGCCACCCACGGCCTCCAACGGCTCCTCCTCGACACTCGCCATCATCCCGGCGGCCTCGGGGGAGGTACTTCCCGCGGTGCCACCCGCGGCCTCGTTCCTGGCCCTGCTCGCAGCCGTGGTGCCACCCGCGGCCTCGTCGTCACCCGCGGCGTCGGTTGCTGCCACGGTCCGGCCATCAACCCGGAACACCGTATGTGGGTGCAGCAGGACCAGGCGATTCTTTCTGCCATCCAGGGTTCCCTCAGCTATGGGGTCACCGCCCTCTGCCTCTTCGCCGCCACCTCTATGGACGCCTGGACGACGTTGGAGCATGCCTTTGCCCAGGTCTCTACCTCCCGCTCGATGGCCCTTCGCGGTGAGCTCGCCGACATCAAGAAGCTGGACTCCTCCGCCATGACCTACTTCAACAAGATGAAGGTGTTGGCGGACACACTCACCTCCATCGGTCGGCCGCTCAGTGACGAGGAGTTCGCTGGCTTTGTCATCAAAGGTCTCGACACCGACTACGATAATCTCGCAGAGGCTGCTCACAACGCCAAGCCAGCGATGCCCCCGCACGAGCTCTACTCATGACTCCTCTTCACCGAGCAACGCGTTGAGGCTCGTCGCACCTCCGCCACCATCACCGCACAGTCGGCGGCCTTCTAGGCTTCCTGCGGCCAGCGCTCCCCGCCCTGTCATCGGGCAAGGCCGCCCCACCCCCTGCATTAACCCTGGGTGGGGTCCGAACTCTCGGGTGGTGTGCAAGCTATGTGGTCGTGAACGCCACGTCGCCTCCAAGTGTCACCATCGCTTTTAGAGGAGCTTCCTTGGCATCGGCAACGACGGCAAGGGCAACGAGCGCCAGTTTGCCATGGCAGACTTTGGGCCCCCCGTCGCCGCTCCGGCTGCCCACCTCGCTACCGCCTCGGCCGCCCACATTGCCGCCAAGGGCGAGGACCCGCGCGTCGACCAGGGGTTCACACCGTCCTATCCTGTTGATCCAGCCTGGTACATGGACACCGGCGCCACGGATCACATGACGAACGAGCTCAACAAACTCTCCACCTACCAGCCGTACTACGGGCACGATCAGGTTCACACCGCCAATGATGTAGGTATGCCCATCTCTCACATTGGCCAAGCATCTCTTTTAACTAGTCATCCTACTAGGCAGCTTCATCTTTGTAATGTTTTGCGGGTTCCCTCGGTGACTCGTAATCTTTTATCTGTCCCTAAGCTCACCCGGTTAATCTTTTTGTTAATGATCAAGCAACCCGGGACGTTCTGCTTAGTGGCCGCTTGAGCCAAGGCTTGTACCGTTTGGAGGATTCATCCGCCCCGTACGTCTTCAGCGGTGTTCGTGTGTCGCCTTCCCAGTGGCACTCTCGCTTTGGTCACCCTGCCACACCCATCGTTCGCCACATACTCCACCACCATGAGCTGCCTTTAGTGTCTAGCAATAAGAGATGTTCGTGTGTGATGCATGCCAACAAGGCAAAGTCATCAACTACCTTTTGTTTCATCTACTAGAGAAGTAAAGAGTCCTCTTGAAATTGTGTTTTCTGATGTGTGAGGTCCGGCACAAACATATGTTAGTGGTCACAACTACTATGTCAGTTTTGTTGATGCCTATAGTCGTTTCACATGGCTTTATCTTCTTAAGCACAAATCTGATGTGTTTGATATATTCATTCAGTTTCAATTGCATGTTGAACGTTTACTCAAGCATAAAATTATCCATGTTCAGTCAGATTGGGGGGGGGGGCGAATATCGCAACCTCAACACCTTCTTTAATAAGCTTAGGATCTCTCTTCGTTTGTCATGCCCACATACACATCAACAGAATGGCGCTGTTGAGCGCAAACATCGCCATATAGTTGAAACCGGCCTCACACTTCTTGCTCATGCTTCTGTACCTTTCCTCTTTTGGAGTGATGCTTTTGCCACCGCGTGTTTTCTCATTAACAGATTACCTACGCGTTTTCTTAATATGAAAACTCCTATTGAGCTTCTCTTGGGTGAAACTCCTGACTATACCTTTTTCAAGGTGTTTGGGTGTGCCTGTTGGCCTCATCTTCGTCCTTATAATGATCGCAAACTTGAGTTTCGCTCCAAAAAGTGTGTGTTCTTAGGGTATAGTTCTCTCCACAAAGGCTACAAATTGTTGGGGATCGAAGCAGAAATTCAAAATTTTCTACGCATCACCAAGTTCAATCTATGGAGTGATCTAGCAACGAGGGGAAGGAGAGTGCATCTACATACCCTTGTAGATCGCTAAGCGGAAGCGTTCAAGTGAACGGGGTTGATGGAGTCGTACTCGTCGTGATCCAAATCACCGATGATCCTAGCGCCGAACGGACGGCACCTCCGTGTTCAACACACGTACGGAACGGAAATGTCTCCCATGCCTTGATCCAGCAAGGAGGAGTGAGAGGCTGAGGAAGAGAGTCCAACAGCAGCACGACGGCGTGGTGGTGATGAAGCTCCTGGTTCTCCAGCAGGGCTTCGCCAAGCACTATGGAGGAGGAGGAGGTGTAGGAGGAGGGAGAGGGCTGCGCCAGGGGAAGGGTTCGGCTGCCCTCTCTCTCCCTCACTATATATAGGGGGAAGGGAGGAGGGGGAGGCGCCCTAGGGTTCCCTAGGGGAGGGGCGGCGGCCACAGGGGAAACCCTAGATGGGTTTGGGTGCCCCCACCCCCTAGGAAACTTGCCCCCCAAGCCGGGAGGGGCGGCTGCCCTAGGGGTAGCGCCCCCACCTCTCCTGGTTACGTGAGATGGGGTGGGAGGGGCGCTCAGCCCCTTAGTGGGCTGATGTGCCCTCTCCCCTTGGCCCATAAGGCCCCCCAACGCTTGTCGGGGCCTCCGAAACCCTTTTCGGACACGCTGGTCATCACCTAGTACTCCCGGAACAATTCCGGACTCCAATACCCTTCGTCCAATATACCGATCTTCACCTTCGGACCATTCCGGAGCTCCTCGTCATGTCCAGGATCTCATCCGGGACTCCGAACAACCTTCGGTAACCACATACTATTTCCCATAGCAACTCTAGCGTCACCAAACCTTAAGTGTGTAGACCCTATGGGTTCGGGAACCATCCAGACATGACCGAGACAACTCTCTGGCCAATAACCAACAGCGGGATCTGGATACCCATGATGGCTCCCACATGTTCCACGATGATCTCATCGGATGAACCACGATGTCAAGGATTCAATCAATCCCGTATACAATTCCCTTTGTCCAGAGGTATTGTACTTGCCTGAGATTCGATCGTCGGTATCCGATACCTTGTTCAATCTCGTTACCGGCAAGTCTCTTTACTCGTTCCGTAGCACATCATCTCGTGATCATTCCTTGGTCACATTGTGCACATTATGATGATGTCCTACCTAGTGGGCCCAGAGATACCTCTCCGTTACATGGAGTGACAAATCCCAGTCTCGATTCGTGCCAACCCAACAGACACTTTCGGAGATACCTGTAGTGAACCTTTATAGCCACCTAGTTACGTTGTGATGTTTGGCACACCCAAAGCACTCCTACGGTATCCGGGAGCTGCACAATCTCATGGTCTAAGGAAATGATACTTGACATTAGAAAAGCTTTAGCATACGAACTACACGATCTTTGTGCTAGGCTTAGGATTGGGTCTTGTCCATCACATCATTCTCCTAATGATGTGATCCCGTTATCAACAACATCCAATGTCCATGGTCAGGAAACCGTAACCATCTTATTGATCAACGAGCTAGTCAACTAGAGGCTTACTAGGGACATGGTGTTGTCTATGTATCCACACATGTATCTGAGTTTCCTATCAATACAATTCTAGCATGGATACTAA